GTCGATCCACCTATGTATGTCGGTGGAGTGATCGAACTGTCGATCTTTAGCAGTGTGGGCCCAAACCAGCACACATGATTCTTGGCCTGTGCATGCTTCCGCAGAAACAATTTATACCAAAGATAGTCTGCATGAACATCAGGTGTGATTTCAATTGTTTGCATGAAGTACTGTGTGAGGTGTGGATGGCCATATTTGTGCAAGTACCTTTTTTCCTGCTGGTAGTCCCAACGCCCGCTCCCTGCCATGGGACCTCCTTTGGATGAATGCCTCGTGCACAATTATGCAGCCGCCTTTGCAGAAGAACCAGAGCTGAAACAAGCTTCTTGTCTTTTTTAGTCTTGGTGGGCACTCATGTGAATGTTTTAAGGGTCCATACTTGGATTGGTGAGAACTTCTTTGAGTGATGTTACTGCTGAGGTTGGGTTCTCATTCCTTCTCAACATCAGCGGGAAGCTCTATACAGCTACAAGGTCAAGTCTTAAGGATGTTTCTGGCAATGCACGTGTGCTTCATTTGCAATTCTTGGAACTGCCAACCTCAACCTCTATTCACTATATGCTTTATATGCTTTCATGTTTTTCTGGCTGCTTGGATATATATAGGGTTGTGCTTGTATAGCTGAGGCCATCTTCCCAGTGATGAAAGTTTCGAGGGGCACTGGGCGCTTCTCAGAACGGATCATTCAAAAGGCGATCCTCAAGTTCTACAAGGACCACTCTCTGTGGCCTCGGGGCATTGTGGAAGAAATGAGCTGTATACAGCTTTGGAGTCTTAAGGTTGCAAAAGCACTATGTAGGCTTGCTGCTGGTCTCAACTTCTTTCCAATGTATAGTGAGCTTGAGAAATCGTATGTTTGTTTGCATCTTCCCTGCTGTGGATATGGCCAGCCTTGATCTAGGTTATCCGCTTCCGGCGATTGATGCAGTTGTCGGCCACTGCCAAGAATCCTGGCATCGCTTCTCTGAAGAAGGTGTTCTGGTGGTGTGTGCGCAGCTTGGCAGTGAATATAATTTATGTACTACAGTGATGAAACCTATAGCCTGTGCACAGAGTGAGGGTTATGATGGATGGGTTGATCCATGTAAGGACTTTGAACCTGGGCAACGGTGGCCTGGTGCTACTGGTGATGATGCGATTCTTGAGGATCCCGAAGGGTGTGCTGTCGACTTGGAGGAATTATCAGACCTAACTGATACGACCACCATGGATGTGGATCCTAAGAAGGATGAACCTAAGCTGGAAGATCCCCAGGACCTCAAGCTCTACAGGTAACATGCCATATCAGTGTTTGGACTTCTTGAACATTTTCTAGTTTTGGGCATTTTGAAACTCGTTGATGTGTGCATGAGGCTATATATATGTTTTTGGATGTTTTGGGTCTAGCTGGTACCCATGGTTGCTCAGGTTGAAGCTGCAATCTCTGGGAGTGCAAGATGCAGCAGCTGTGCGGCCTATAGCGACACCTCAAGCCGCCCTCCAGCTGCCCAAACCTGCTTCCGCTCCTGCTCTGGATTTGCAGATGCTGGCTGAAGACCTCAAGCGGGCCATAGCGGAGGCAAAGGGTGAACAGCTGGTGCCTGCAAAGTCGCAGGTGAAGGAGGTGGTTCAGAATAAGCATTTGCTCCCACAGTGTGTTTCTTGTCAAAGCTTTGGATTATATAGGGCTATATATATATATATGCTGATGTAGTAGGGTTGGTGTGTGAAGTGGGAATTGAAAGTGGTCTGACTGGCCTTTGAGTGGTATGTCCATGGTACTGCAGTGCATGAGGTTCTGAACACGCTCAAGGACATGAACAAGGATTCTGGTGTGACGCCTTTCCGGATCAGTGACACCTACAAATCTTCGTGGAACAACCGGAATGTTGCCAACGATGATGATGACAATGCTGATGATGCTGCTGGTGGGGACAAGCTGAGGCCGAAACGACCAAAAGCCAAATCCAGCAAGGCAAAGACCGGCAAGGCGAAGGTGAAGCCGGCGAAGGTGAAGCGGGCGCCTTTGACCGAGGAGACAAACAAGAAAAGGGTGGCTACTGGAGCATATGAGCCTCATGTGTACAAAGAGGAAAGGAGCAATTACATTGAGGCCCAGAAGAACAAAGGAATTCCGTATGCTGTGGCATGTACAGCCTGGAATTTAAGCCCTGAGAAAGCAAAGCTTTTAGCAGGGGTTCCTGTGCCGGAGCTTGTGCGGAGGCGATTTGTGCCCAAAGGTTCCACAACCAATCCATGGGCATAGCAGCTTAAATTCATGCACCAATTTATTTGCGTCCTATTCACACACATGTGGCCAGAGTGTGCCTTGGTGTGTGCTAGCAGTGCTATGACTGCTGGATTTGTGACAGAAAGTAGCACTTAAGCGCTGATATTCGTCTCTGTATGATTGCTTTGTAGCTATATATATGCTTAAGTACATGTTCTCATGATAGTCTTTATGATTTCTGTTTGTTGAGTGGTGGACGCAATTGGAAATGAAGATTATACATTTTATTCCAAGAGTGGGCTCAGCAATTGCACAGAAAGGTGTGCAAATATACGTCATGGTGATCCTAGAGATGCAGCAATGGAAATCTCCGCTGGTACTTCAACTACTTGTGATCATGGTGCTGCATACATCCATCTTCCCAAGGCCGACGAACTTGGACTTAACCTTTGTTGAGCTCTTTGCTGGGAAGGCTGCAGTGAGCAGCGCTCTACGTGAGGGTGGGGGCAATGGCTCATCTCATGATATCAACATCTCCCCCTTGCTGGACCTCACTAGCACTGCAGGCTTCTTGTTCCTGGGATTTCTTCAATATATAAGTCATTTGTTACTGTGATTCTTTGTTTGAGGGTAGACACCTTTGTTTGGTCATGCCTGACCCTTCCTCCCAGCTTCTGATTGCCTTGCCAAGCTTGCTGAGGACGGCCATCAACGAAGTTTTGAGGATCTCGCCTGGCGGGCTTGTGCTGATAGCCCTATGTTGCAACTCCTTCACGGCGATGCAGCTTGGTGGTTCAATATGTGTTAGTTGTCTTTGCAGGTATATCTGGGTGGAATGAATGGAATTGGAACATATATATACTTATATATAGATATATTAAATATGTTTGTACTAATGTATTAATCATATGCCCAAAGGATTATTTAGCCTAGGTCCAAGGGAACTTCGGCGCGTGACTGCTTCAACAACTGGTTGGGCAATGCTGGATACGGCTATGTGGCCACTGGAAACCTATTGGCGTCTAGAGTTGTGCCTTGGATGGTGCTGGAAAGACCATGTGTCAGAACGACAACATCACCAGGTTTGTTTGTTACCAGTTGAGCCTATATAATTTAGGGAAACCCTGTGGAGACTCCATTTGTTTGAGGTGCTGATCCTGTGGCTTTGCTGCTGGAGGCAGTTACATTGGGTGGTGGAGCAGCCATCCAATTCTTGCTTTCAATCGCACCCACGATTTCAAGAATTCCTTCATGTTTGCAAGGTGGCCTGCTGTGGTTGAGTGTATTTGTTTAGCAATATACTACTTGCTACTTTGGATTAACTGACTTATTGCTGGATCAAATGCAGCCCAGGTATTCTCTGGAAAGTTCTATATGGGGTGCTTCAATGGGCCAACGAGCAAGCGGCACAAATTGTGGTCTGGAAGTAAATCCGTCTTGGAGGAGATTATAGCTGGTGCGACCTTTATGTCCAAGGCAATCCGTCTTCAGCTGCCTGGCACGCCTCTTGTGCACAAATATGTGGATAAGAAAGGCAAAAAGAGATATGCTGGAATCCCGCATGCTCTCAAAGCTAGTCAGACCCTTGTTGTGGCTTCAGAAATGGTTTTGGTGATATTTATGTATATAGTAGGTGTGCGTATATAGTTGATTGATTGTGGAATCATATATATATGGCTGTGTGTGCGCTGGCGCAATGCAGGGCCTACACAAGAGAGTTTGGAGAACGAGTGGCATCCGTTGCAAAGAATCACTGCCATGACTGAGTTCAAAACAAATGAAAAATAGAATGAAATAATGCAATACCTTCAACACCTTCATTGCTATATATATCATACTGGCAGGACCAAATGCCTCAACCTCTGTGCGCCTGCGATATGAAGACCTGCAAGACTGATGCAGAGCTGTTCAGCAACCTTTGTGCTGGAGATGGGCTTCTAGGGCTTGGCGATCTTTGGGTTGATGCCCCTAGGCTGAAATATACATGTGATTCATTCTGTGCATGGTTTCTCTATGTGCTAGCTCTATGTCAACCCTTGGCCATGCGACTATATATACCATATATATATATATATATAGTGTTTGAATTGGGGAGACTGACAAACAACCGAGGCTGATATCCCCAAATGTCTTCGCTATCTGGATGGATGCAAGCACCTGTCATTGCCTGGGCGCTGGGAACCTTGGCAAGACAATTGGCTAGAAAAACACCCACATGTGAGCTCAGCAAAATGTTAGAGTTTGTGGCTCATAAATGTCAGGATCCAGTGGTGAAGCAACTGCGCATCCGGCGCTATGTTTCAAAAGTGGGAAGGCTGGAGCTATATTGTGGCACATATCAATGGAACTATAGAGCCTATACCTAGTCAAGTTGGTTGTCAAGTTGGTTCCTGTATATAAATCATCTATGCGTCATGAAATATTTGTGCTGCTTGGGCAGGATCCGATCTGAGCTGATTGACTGATGGGCTGAGCTTTGTGTGTTTCTTTGGCTGGATCTCACATTCAGCTTGCTTGCTGTCAGCTTTTATGGCTGGGTGTGGATTCACACCCAGCTTGCTGCTGCAGGTCCAATTAGCGTGCCATGTATCCAAAGGCTGAAGCTTTGTAGCCTTCTTTGGCTGGATCTCACATCCAGCTTGCTTGCTGTCAGCTTCTTTGGCTGGGTGTGGATTCACATCCAGCTTGCTGACCAGTCCAATTAGCATGCCATGTATCCAAATTGAGCGTGTGAGTGAATGCCCGCACGTTAACGTGGCCAGACCTGTGAACAAAACAATGATTCATGTATGGGCGCAAACCCCTGCGTTAAAATCCGTGAAATGTACGTGAAAAAACACCTCATGTACGTGAACGTACCGTGAATGTACGTGAATGGATTTTGAGTGATTTTTTGAATGAATGCATATGATATCTGTATAGCAATTTTCAACAGGTCTTAGAGAGTGGTTGCTATGGCGGGCGCTTTAGTGGGAGCGCTGCCCTTCCCGGTCAGTGAGCTGACCTGGGAGAAGCTGCCGGCTGTGGTGGAAGCGGGCAAATTGAGTTTTGAGAACGCAGTGATGGTCATGAAGCTGGTTCTTGGCGAACCTCCAGAGGAGATCGCACCTTGGGCTTATATATGTCACATGTTTGATTTGTAGCTGTCAACTATTAAGTGGTGTTGGCTCTGAATGGGTTTACGTGTAAATATCCAGCAATCTCAGGACATGAAGGCTTTGGAACGGCAGTGCCCTGGTGGTCAGCAAGCTGCGGCCAAATCAAAAGCGAAGGCTAAGCCCAAGGCTAAGCCAAAAGCTTCTGGGAAAGCGAAGGCGAAAGGGAAGAGTCAACCGAAGGTCAAAGCGAAGGCAAAAGCTGCTGGTGGGAAGGCTCGGGCCAAAGCGAAGAGTGGAGCTTCGAAGAAGGTGTCGACTCGGGATCCACCGGAACCGTAGAGGGGGAGGAGTCAGAACCTGGAGAAGAAGATCCTGAGGTTGAGATCGTTATGAAGCGGCCTGCAGCAGCTCCTGGCCGGGTCAGGCGACCGCCTGTCAAAGAGCCGGAGCAGCCTGACTTGGTGCTGGAGCTCGAGCAGAAGAGGAAGAATGAGGAGGAGGCTCCTGCAGCTGATGCTTTTGAAATTCCGCCTCTCCCTGCAAAGCGTATGCGCAAAGCTACCACAATTGAGGATTCACAGATCTCGGGGTGGTATCTTGGTTGTGAGTTGTTGTTTTTTAACAGTGCAAATTGTGGTAGTTTATTGATTTTTTTGCTCAGCTACCAACACATATATGATCTGATTGTATATACTGAGACCTTGCCGAGGTCTTGCTTGACACTGCAGCAGGGTTTGGAACATGTGGAGCAGCAGCACTCGCAGCCTGCGCAGCCTACAATTGAAGTGGACTCGGCTTCGCAGGCTTCCACCCTACAGTGACTTTGATTGTTTCAACATGTTTCAACCTTATTTGTGCTTTTTGTTTGTGATGTATACTCTATATATATACATACATTATAATATATAGACGTTGATACATGAATGTTGTCTCAGGCTCGGGGCATCGGTGTCAACAGTGCCGGCGACAGCAGCGGAGCTTGAGATGCGAGCGCAGCTGGCGACCCTGCAGGCTGAGCTTGATGTCTTGCAGAAGAAGGGCCAGAGTGCGGCAGATGACCCGCAGCAGCCACTGAGGCGCATTCCTCCATCGCTGGCGTTGGACACACCGATCTTTGGGTCTCCAGACAACCAGATGGGATTGGAAGAGTCCCAATTCGCTGACACCAAGGTTGACCCGTCTTTGAAGGCTGCAGAAGGATCGAATGCTTCTTCGCTGGAGGCTAAGGTCCAATCAAAGGCTTCACTGAACGATGCTCCTGTGGCTGCTCCTGCACAGGAGCCTGCTGCTGAACCATCGAAGGTGGCTTCTGCACTGGGGGAGCCTGCTGCTATGGAACCACAGGTACCTGCGTTGAATGTGGCTTCTTCTGCACCGGGGGAGCCTGCTGCTATGGAACCACCAAAGGTACCTGCTTCCTCACTTGATGAGCCTGCTGCAATGGAGCCTGCACCTGCTGTGAGCCATGCGGCTCCTTCAACCACGCCTGCTCCTGCTATGTGCCCATTGATGGTGGCTGTACCGGAGGAGGCTGGCACTGCCATGGACCAGTCAAAGGTGGCTCCTTCACCGGAGGAGGCTGCTGTGGCTATGGAGAAGCCTGCAGAGCCTACTGCTCCTATCGATTCTTCACAGGTACCACCTGCTGCTCCTATTGAACCACCTTCAAATTTGGCACCTGCTGCTCCAATCAAACCACCTTCACATGTGGTGCCTGCTGCTCCTATTGAGCCAACTTCAAAGGTGGAACCTTCACCACAGGAGATGGCTGCTGGGGCTATGGCTCTTGTGGTGGCACCTGCCACTGCTGCGATGGCTCCTTCACCCGCGGAGCCTCCTGCTATGCCAAAGGAACCTGCAAACGCACTGACCATTTCGAAGGGTGCCATGCCCGTGGAATCTGTTCCTCCTGCCCACATTCCTGATCAGCCTCAAGTTGATGAGCGAGACCATGCTATTGCAACTTTGCAGGCCAAGCTCAAGGTGTTGGAAGATCAGTTATTGTCCAACGCCAAGGCTTCCAATGCCAAGGCTCCTCAAGTATCTTCGTTGAATGTGGTCACTGCGCCTCCAGCTGACCTTCCTGACCATGCCATGGTGGAGCTGGATGGGGAGCCCCTCAATCCAGTAGAGTTGGATGAGGAGATGCAGCGGCTCATCAATGAGAATTCTGGCCCTGGCAGTACATGGAAGGATGATGTAGTTGATAACGAAGAGCAGGAGGAGAAGATCAACTACAGCACCCACAGAAACAGTGGTATGAGGTTGAACCGTTTCATGGAATCCAAAGAAGGTGCCAAGTTTCCACATATGAGGGCCATGTTTGAATCAGCGCCTGAGCAATAACCAATTATTGTAAACTTTTATTTTTTTGTAATGCACTTTTCTCTGAGAGGCGCTGGTTTGTTCTTGTGGTCCTTGATTGCCGCTGTAAGGACAGAACGGCTTTGCTTCGTGTGTGGGTCCTGAACAAGGAGAACAGGAACCAGTGTGAGAGTGAGGTGATCCTCAGCCGTTCCAAATCGGCAAGGATTGAAGGCATCCGTGAATGCATCACTGTGAAGGAGATGATTAAGCGTGGCTGGCCAAAGGGCAAGATCTTGGGAGCGATCCAGAAAGGTGGTGGCATTAAGGACGAGCATGATCCTACAGATCCCACCCTGACGTCCTATTGGTGCATCACAGGCCGGAAAAAGGTGGACAGCGAGGAGATGAAGCAGGAGTCAACGATGCGGGTGAAGACAGAATCCAATGCAGAGTCTCTTGATGCGCTGCTTGGATCAACTCCTGCGCTGCCACCTTCATTGGGCCTAAGCGCTGCAGCTTCTGGGATGTCAGATGAGCAAGTCAAAGCTTTGGCTGATGCCTTGGGTTCCTTGTCGCCTTGTCGGCCTTTGTTTGTTGGTGCTTTGTGTGTTTGTCTGTGTGAAATCTTTTGTGTTTTTTGAACATGGTGCTTAATCATAGGCTCGGCTACCATGAGGTTTTGATGTACTACCATGAGTAATATATATTATAAATTGTATTACTGCTCCGCTACCATGAGTTCTGCATATGAGGTGGTGGTGATGCTTCGCAATCTGCCAATAGCTCTGCTCCTGAACCTCGGGCAAAGACAAAGGCCAAGGCGAAGCCCAAGGCCAAGACTACAATTCAGGAGGAGAAACCAAAGACGGCCAATGAGCTCAAGTCTGAGCTTCGTCATTGGCTTGCAATTCAATGGTCTTTTCAATTTTTGTCATTGCTGTTGAAATCAATATTGGTGTGGAGTAATTTTATATTTGTATTGGGAAACCATGAGACTTTGATATAATATATGTTTTTATTATATGTATGTATGATCCCTCAACCACACCCCATGATGCAGGCAGTGGCCTGAAGAAGGAGCTTGGTCAAATGACCGTTGCCACGGACCTGCCGAAGGACCATGCACTTCGCAAGGCGCTGGATCAGTACAAGACGCGCTTCGAAGAATCTTTTGAGGAGCTCCTTGATGGGATTGCTTTTGTTGAATCATGTTGAATCCAACAAATATGTATGTTTAAAACTATATGTAAACATGGCTGAGGCTAAAGAATCTATCGACCCTGGCTGATCTGACCGACTTCAAAGAGGAATTCTCTGAGACCGTGTCCTGGTATGGGTTGGGAGTTCAATGGATTTCATGAGCTGTCTTGAAAATAGTTCTCATCTCATTGGATTTCATGAGCTGTCAAGTAAGGGTTGGGAACTCTGATCATCGCTCAGGTATCTGCGATGAAGCTGGTCAAGGCTCAGGCCAAAGCATACATTGCAGAGATGAACAAACGCGCCAAGTGAGCGCGTGGGTTTTGAACATAGAATGTTGGGGTGTTGCGCCCAAGAGTGAATCCATTCCCCATAGCTTGCCATCATGTTTGGATGAGATGGTACAAACTGATAGTGAAGTATATACTATATAATAATTAATGGCGCTATATGCCTTCTGTGTGGCTATACAATGTCATACAAAATAAAAGCTCTGGCAAGAGGGGGCAGTCAATCGGGATTCCAGGGATTGGTGCGAACTCGTGGCTTTAACTGCATGGTGAGACCACCATTGCAATTGGAAAAAATGCGCCCTATCTGTCGAACTGGGGGGCCATTTGCATTGGAAGATTGAACCGACTATCTGCCCCCACGCAGGTTCTGCCCGAGATCGCCTAGAAGTGCAACGCCGGGCAGAGCTGGAATCATTGCGCCTCAGCAGAAACGGGCAGAAGGTTTGATCAGTTGATTTTCTAGGTTTGATCAGTTGATTTTTCTAACAGGGATTGTTTTTAAATGCTGGGTTTATATATAAATCCACCTAAAGAGCAAACCCATAGCACTATAGCTAGCAGCTAGCCCAAGTATATATGTTCTGATATTCTTATTGATCAGTCAGGTTGGCTAGCGCTGTGGGCAGCGGCAATTCGACTATCAAGCATGCCTGCAATGTTGGCGCGCTCTTTGGAAGTGATGTTTTCAAGACCCTTGGATGTGATCAAAGAAAGCTTTGCCTTTTTGGGGGGGTGGCGCCACGGTGTGAGACCTGGTTCTGGGACACATTCTAAGTCCTGCACTGTCTCCAAGGTCTGATGAGCGCGGCGTCCACACTGCGTCGCGGCGGTGCGGCCTGGCACTTCCCGTGGAGGTGCAGTATATGCAGCTGCCGGTCTGCAGCGATTACAATGATGCTGGTGAGGCCATTGTCGATATCATTGACTGGCCTTTCTTGCAGCCTCACTTACTAGAACCCTGGTCATTGATGCGCCAAAGTTTTTAAACAAGTCTTTTTGGTAGGTGCCTCAAATAGCACTGAATGTGTGGTCAAAAAGAAACTGGATCAATAGATCCTATGATATCATATATTATACTACTATATTCCTATAGACTAATTTTATAATATGTTCAAAAAATATACCCAACCAGGAGTCTATAAAAAAGAAACCACACCTCGAGGGATCATGGCCAATATCTGAGGTTCAAGCATTGATTGACGAAGGCTTCTTACGGTTCATTTGCGACCCCAAAGATCTAGAGACCTACTGGGCGAACCTCTTGAAGGACTACCCGAACCACCCAGCTGGCCAACATCCTGCGGCTGCATTTCCTCTGAGCCTATATGGATTCTTGTCCTACTTGATAAACAAAACCCTTTGTAAGGTTTTCTGATTTCTGCACTGAGGAACACCAATAAATACCATCAATCTTTGAGATTTCATGTGACCCTCAATTGAGGAGATGAAGGAACAGCTCTCAATGCGTCATGGATGACCTTCCATGTCCAACCTGATCTTTCACCAAAGCTGTCTGATGCTGGGGTCAGCCGTTTCCTTTGCGCAACAATTCCTTCAACACTGTAATGTGGCTGCACACTAGCAATTTTGATCATGATTTTGTTTGGTCGCCTAATGCCAATTGGGACTTGGTGCTAGTTATCCCTGCCAGGTACTTGTACGATGACAATGGAATCAACATCACATTGCAAGCGGCTGCCCAGTGGATTGCGGAATCCATCAACCGCTTATCTGTGGATGGTGTGCGATTGAAGGATCCCACTACAGGAGAGGAAGTCACCGGGTTTTGGATTAGAAGCAATTGTCTTGTTAGTGTGGGTTTGAATTTCATGTCTATCGCACAAGCAACCCTGCAACATATTGTCAAGCCTAGGCGGGCCATTTCTATGGGTATGCAGTCCACTTCAAAGGTGACTGGAAATATCTTGTGGCTTTGTTCAACATGACCCAGAGCGCCCAGCAAGAGCAGGTCATGGCCTCTAAAAGCCGTGGTAGATCATCGCCATGGCTTGTCAAATCCAATGGTTTGTAAATGTGTTCAACATCTACCATAGAATGATTTGTTCCAAGAGTCTTTTCACTTATATTGGGTCACACTTTGTCCCTGGCAGGTTTGTTGGAAGTGCGGCGCCAGCAAGGGGACTTCAGATCCCAATATGTGCTATGTGAATTTGAACCATGATGCGCCCTGGCGTCGCACCGCTGTCTCTATGTGGAGCGTTAAGCCTGCTTTCGCAAACATTGCAACTTGCATTTGTTCCAAATATGTTTTTGTGTTTTTGTTGGTGGTGGTGCCACCCACCAAGCACAAAGACTTCTCATTTGGTGTGTGATATGGTTTGTGCCATGGGGTTCAAAACAGTGATCTTTCGGGGTTCCAACCATGAGGTTGGATTCTCAAAAGAGATGGTTGCGCCAGATGTGCTGCACTGCTGGCACCTTGGTGTTTGCAGGGATTTGATTGGATCCGTGGTCCGCCTATTGGTGTCAGAAAGATATTGGCCAGGGTCCAACATCAACGACCGTTTAGCATTCGCTACTGCTTCATTGAAAAGGTGGGCGAAGCATCGTGCATTGAGCCTGACTATCAAGCGATTGACAAAGCAAAACCTGTCTTGGGGTGATCAGTACTTTGGATAAAAACAACCACTTTTTGTTGGTACTAGCTGAAGGTTAGTTGGAAAACTATATATATCTATATCTATATATATTTTGTCACTAACCTCTTTACATTACCATTGGCTAGCTGTCCAGGTATCCAGAACTACGTTGCAAAGGGTCAGATTCACGAGTGGTTTTGGGGTGGTTGAATGATCAGCTCCAGACAAAGGGCTGCAGTATGGATGATGTGGCATCCGCACCACAGTTGGAAGAAAGCATGTTTGGAATTTTTCTTGTACGCAAACCTGATAGCTTAAGCTCTATAGGTTTCTAGGATCGCACGACCTTGGTGTACCAAACTCTTGGCACCCAGGTTGTATGGCTGGGCGAATCATGGATGTCGATGCTACACACGGCTCCTATGTTCCTCTCAGCTGCTGAAGATGAGCACCGGATGCACATTGGACAGTTGATGCTACGAACCTATGTGAAGCTGGCTCGGTGGGCATTAGATAGCAACAAAAAGTTGTTCCGATGTCGTCCGAAGCTTCATCTTCTGACCCACTTAGCTGAAGATAGGAAACCATCAAGGCTCAACCCTGTTCACTGTGCTTGTTGGATGGACGAGGACTTTGTGAAACGTGCAATGAACATAAAGAAGAAGCTTCACAAACGCACTGCTACAGAGCGTACCTTGCAAAGGTACACCCTGGCGTTAAGCACAAAGTTGCGAGCAGCGCAGAAGGATCTGTGAGGAAAAACAATTTGCCAGCACATGTTTTTGAGCAGGCTCTGCTGAGTATGGGGAGCTGGCAAACAAAACCCATAACAAAACCCATGTATATATATCACAGGTAAACAATATATACATATATATTGATTTATATAAACATACGTACTATGCATTAAAATTATGTGTATATATATATGTAATATATGTTTTTGTTGGTGGCTCAAGGCGGCTCATAAAAAGAGCCTGGGGCAACAACTAAGTTGATGTGGCCAAAGCCCCAAGTAGCGTGAAACTGCGTGAATTTTTGGCAAACATCTCAAATGTACACTTGGTGCTTCTCAGGTGTACGAACGAGAGTATGTACAACATGATCTTGTTCAAATGCACCTCTAGGTGCAACGATCCGGTCGGGTCCGCAGGTCCGTGGATGGGTTAAGAAAACAAGCGGTTGAGGTTCGGAAAGCCGGTACGGTTTCTCCCAAAATGCGGTACGGTTGTTTCCATTCGATCCGACTGACCGGTCGTACCGAAAATGGGACATGACCTCATGTTAGAAAAGTAAAACAACACAGGTACTCCGAGTATCTATTTTCCGAGGTACTTTGAGGGTCAAGGTATATATATATATATATAATACTAGAGAGGTACCTGGATCTTCTCCAAGCGTGCAACATTTCTACCTTTGGGCTGGGTCATTGACCTGCAGGGTACTGTTCTATACTGGACAACGACGGAATTCACAAGTAAGTCCCTCTCCACCAATCACTCCCACTTTCTTCGGCAAATATAGAAGACTATGTCATGGTATGGTGGGAAACTCCACGCCAGCTCGTGGAGTGGAAGACTCTTTTCATTGAGAAACAATCCTCAAACCATCTCAAATACAAAACACTTCATGCATATATATGCATACATCCCTATAGGCCTCCAGTCGTACCTCCTCAGGTTCGGTATAACTGGACCCGGCACCCACCCCAGTCCCACCAAACCTCAGGTTCGGTACGAAAACGGAGGCCGAACGTTATACCTTTTTAACCACCCCAACTGATCGGCTTCGGCATGGTCGTCGAACGTCTCACTCTGAGTCCAGACGAGCTCGGTGACGTCCACGTTGCTGTACTTGTCAGGGCCTCCGAGGCGAGGAGCTTCGTTCACGGTTGGACCGCGCGGCGCCGCATCGGTTGGGACCACGCGCGGACCGCATCGGAGCGCTTCCAGGAGCGCGGCCAGCGGCCAGCGGCCAGGCGCGGATGGTGGACGGAGCACGTGAAGGTTCATGAAGTTGACCAAGAAAAGAAGATTCACGAAGCCAAAAAATACTACGACCCCCCTGAATTGATCCTCATTTCCTGGCATGTGGCCAAAGGAGGGAGACTAAAAAAGGTGGTGGTCTCCAACACACATCTCCAACCCAGGATTCACAGGGCCATATTGATGATAGCATTCATAACTATAGGGATCCACTGCCACCTTCTCGGGTTCGGCACGACTGGACTCTAGACCCTCCTGGTGCCTAGATATACGAACACATCACCTTCTCAAAGGGGGGCAGTAGATCCATGAAGACCTCTGCTTGCCTTGGTTGTAGGCAGTTACTTAAACTCACATCGACCAGCATCACCATGATAAACAAAGCCACCTGGGCCATCTGAAGCGACCAATCATGCTTGCCTCGAGGAAAACAACAACTTGATCCATGTTACAAAATGGGGTAGGGGTCTTCATTTTGTAGAGAGGTATTGGAACATAGATACAACTTGTATCTTGGGATGGGAAGATTTCATCTCGGTTTTGCAGAAAGCGTCTAGATGACTACATCTGCAAGCAAGAGCTGCGACAGTAAGAGATGCAAGCACTGTTTGGACCAAATCTAAAATTCTCACAAGCCAAGTCACCCAAAAATATCCAAGATTCTAAGTGGAAGCCTCAAAGATTCATGGAACCAACCTGACACGGATTGCCCTTGAAAGAGGCTATTATCCTCATCACCTGTGGAGTAGTGCACGTGATGTCTTAACGGCCTCCGCAGAAACCGGTGTGATGTCTAGGTGCTTCCCAGCTTGAGACGTCTCTATCATTCCCTTAAGTTCATCCCTTTGAAGCTATGAACGACCTGGGAAAACGGTGAGCAGCTGCCTTCCCTATTCCTATAGGGCTCCAAGCATATCCTCAGAAGGTGGTTAGACCCCCAAAACCCACCCCAACCACCTTCAAAACGGAGGTGGGCGGTTGGAGCCCTAGGGATTATAGAGCTTCCCCACCCCGGCTCGCCCCGGTTCCGATCGGACTCTTCAGGAAGACTTAAGGACCCGGTCCAGGTGTGGTGCAAGGTGTGGTGGTCAACCCCCGAACGGCCTCCAGCACCTGAGGGTCGGTCGTCCTACCGGTAGACCGAACCGTTTCGGAGGTGCGAAAACGGAGGTGTAGGGTACCAACAAAAAGAACGAACCCCAAAACTACCTTGGGGGGGGTGTTGGGGTCGGATTATAACTGTACATATAGACACACCAACCTGGTTCTTCAATTTGACCTTTTGAAGGTTCCTAAGTGACCCTTAGGAGGCTTAAGTGACCTCAAACCAGGTTATCGAAAGGTCACCTTGAAGAACCAGGAATATGATCATCATCCATGCAGGTCCATATATTCTAGGCCAACCTCAGTTTCACCAAGTGATGTCGAGACAAGGCACGCTCGAACTTCGTGATCAACGACATGCGAAGCTTCATCTCGTAGCTGTGCCTGAGCAAGTGAAAAGGGGAAAAGCAACCAGGGTTGTGTTAACGTTTGTAGATCAAAACCACGTTCCATAGTCTGTGTTCAAAGTCTTGGCATGGGTTGTCCCACTCCAGTACAGTTGAAGTGTTCTCTGAAACTTCAGAGGAATGAAGACGTTCTGAACTACAGGAATGGCGAGGGATTCAAAGGCACTTCTCTCAGCAAACAGCAACTACCACGAACTACCGCCATCCGCGAAACGTCCTCAAACCACTGAGAATCTTCGCGAAACAAAGATCCCTTCAACAACGGAAGTTCGCCTTTCCCAGCAATCTGAACAGTAGCATGATGCTCTATAGGCCTCCAGTCGTACCGAACCTGAGGTTCGGTGGGACTGGGGTACACCTTCTGAGGAGGTACGACTGGGATGTTGCATGCGCCGATTTCATTGTTTGGGGGACGAACAGTGAATCCGATGCCATCAATCCCCCGCCGCTCTCCTCGCCTCGTCTCGTTGCCATGGATGGTCTGATCCTTGAAGTCGGCATCCTTGGTCGTGTCTGTGTCTGTGTCCGCCGCGCCGGTGGTGACCGCGCGCCACCGCGCCCGCGGGTTCGAGTAAACCAGAGATGAGTTGGGAAGCGTTTAATTCATGTTTTAAAATGAATCTGAAACACGTCATGGTCTGGAAAAAACTTGACTGTGTCAAGGATTTTAAAAAATCATCCCAAGTTAGGGTGTGCAATTAAAACAGCATCTGCCCATTTAGAGTATCACATAACTCATATGACCATATATGACCCATGTTTTGCAGCTGCTCGTCCTGACTCCAAGCACGTTGTGGCATCGACGTGACGGACACCGGCTAAGGTGACCGGATCCGCGGCTAAGGTGACCGGCCGCGAGTTCAGAAGAACCAGGGCGGTGGAGTTCGGAACCCATTGGTGATGGTGAGGGAGATAGCCCTGGCCCTTTCCATTCTAAAACAAAGGGCCGAACCCAAACCGGTTCTCCAATCCCCACATCATCGCAAGTGCACGTGCAATTCCGATTGTTTGATGAAACCAATTTCCTGGATTCAGCCTTATTTTTCTAGCAGCGAGAAACATCTAGCTCTCAACCACCACCCCCAAACAGGCTCAAAAAACAAGATGGAGCCCACGAACCCGAATGCAAACACGTTCGAAAAGCTACATATGTCCAAATGACACTCTTGTAGGACACTCTTGTGGGACACTCTTCTGGGACACTCTTGTGGGTGACTCTTTCTTGTAGGACACTCCTTATGGGACACTCTTGTCGGACATTCTTGTGGGACACTCTTGTGAGACACTCTTGTGGGACACTCTTGTAGGACACTCTTGTGGGACACTCTTGTAGGACACTCCTTATGCGACACTCTTGTCGGACATTCTTGTGGGACACTCTTATAGGACACTCTTGTGGGACACTCTTGTAGGACACTCTTGTGGGTCACTTGCCGGACACTCTTGTGGGACACTCTTGTGGGACACTCTTGTGGGACACTCTTGTAGGACACTCTTATAGGACACTCTTGTGGGACACTCTTGTCGGACATTCTTGTGGGACA